CTGCCATGGCAGTCTGGGAGGATCCGTGAGCAGCGCCCGGCAGCCAGCACCGTGCCAGCCCCATTTGGGAGCCTGGTTTGAGCTGTTTTTCCAGGAAAGGGGATGCCACAAGGGGCATCCTGGGATGCTGCGGGGCAGCTCGGACCCTGCACATGACCTGGCATCAAAATGTTTCATTCCCTTTTTCCCAAGGGGCTCAGGATCAGACCCTCAAGTCCTTCACATCCACCTTGGAGGTGAGATTTTCCCTCTCAGTGGCGTCAGCTGTGACCAGGTCCACAACCCCACTTCGTATGGCAGGGAGAGAATCAGCCAAACAACCTCCCCAAAAGAACAAGGAGCCTGTTCTTCCAGCTTATCCAAGATGTTGATGTAGCTTTGCTTCTCCCAAGGTCAACCTGTCCCAGCAGAGACCATCTGAGCAAGCCAGCAGCTTGTCTGGGAGCTGTCTGCACTCTCAGACCGGGCAGAGCAGGGTACGAAATTTGGCAGGAAAGGAGAATCAGCTGCAAGAGCTGGAAGCCCCGGCCCCAGGTTGGAGCTGATCCCGCACTGAGACCCTCCAAAGAGCCACCATGCAGGGCAGCAGCACCCAGACAGGGGGTATTGCCTGCCTCCAGCCCGCTCCTGCGCTCCCCCAGCACCATTTGCTGCTTTAAACCCGAAATGTAGCTGGAGAGGTTTCCAAAAATGCAATATTTAACTGCCTGGGGTTTGTTCCACCTTGGGTAGACCAAACGCATCGCTTTGGTAGACCAAACCTCCAGGCTGGCCCAGGACCCTCGAAGAGCAAGTGCTCTGCCCCTGCCTCAGGGCTGCAAACAGGTCTGGCACAGCCCTCCCTGCCCCTCCTCACCTCCAGCCGACGGATGATTTCCCGGAGCGGAAGAGCTGATTCGTTTCCACCGATGAAAGTGGTTGTGGGCAAGTGGAAAACCTTGTCGAGGTCAGATTCATCCAGCCCGTAAAAGCCTGCAGGATTTTTCATGGGTGGGACAAGCGAAAGCAAGAGAGAGAAGGAAGGAAGGGGGACGGGGTGGGGGACGCCGTCGCGCAGGGACCGGGTGCGTTTGGGAGGGGTGGGGAAGGGGCAAAACAAAGCAGCATAAAACCAAAAATAAGCATGAAGGAG